AAGTTTTTTGTTACCTCCGTCTGTAGTTTTACAAGTGAATGTTCAGTGCACGTTTGAGCTTGAAAACCATTTTGCTCTGGTGGGATCAAATCATTCTGTGTGCAGAACCTTCTTAAGTAGTTCAAAATGATTTTTTCGAATACTTTGGCAATGTGAGGTAACAAACTTACCGGCCGGTAATGAGCTGGGTTATTACCATTTTTCGCTGGTTTTAGCAGTGGAAATAAAACAGCATGTTTCCATGAATCCGGGAAGTAGCGAAGCCGTAGACAGGAGTTGTAAAGGTTCACCAGGTACATTATACCTATCCTTGGTAACTGTTTGAGTAATATACTCTGAATTCCATCAACGCCTGGTGCCCGGTTTCCTTTAGTCCTGCGGAGAATTGTTTTTAATTGTTTAAAAGAAACAAACATGTAATTGTTTTCCTTCTCTAAAATTGGAGACGAAATAAAGTTCCCTGTTCTCTTTTTGATTTCTTCACTGTAGTATTGTGCTAACATTACAGCTTGTTCTTTGTGATTTAATAACCTGTCATTCTGATGGAGTTTGATGATATTAGACTCCCTATTAACATTCTTTACTATTTTCCAAAACTTTCGATAGTCGCCGTGTGTCGCACCTATTTTTTCTTGCCAAATACTCGTTTTCCAATTTTTTATCAAATTACGTATTTGGTTAGTTAAGGAATTCATAACCAATTTAGCCTTTTGATCCCTCGTGCGGTACCATTTATTTTTCCACGTATTTCTTAGTGAAATAAGTTGCAGAACGTGGGGCGGTGGTACGCGAAGAGAAGGTGGAAGAGGAGCGAATTTAGGTATTGCGATGTTCGCTGCATCTAATATGGTGTTGCATAAAGAGGCTATATGAGTGTCAATGTCATCCTTTGTACGAAGATTTGGCACTGATTGTAACTGCAGTTTTATTTGACTGCGGTATAAATTCCAATCGCCATTTTTATAGTCATATCGTGTGGGAACAGCTTTCTGCGTTTCACCCATTATGGTATAAAGGACTGGCCTGTGGTCCGATGTTACAAAGTCAAGTGCTGAACATTCTGTGATCTTGTGCTCTTGCCTGGTCAGAAGAAGGTCAATGGTGGAGGTGTTCGATGAACTTCCTCTATGCCTAAATGTGTGAGTATTAGGGTGGATGACGGTGAATGGTGTTTTAACAACGCATTGTCCCCCTTTATTACTTCTCAAATTGTACCAAAGTTTATGCCGGGCGTTTAGGTCACCAATGACCCAGTGATTTCTTTGCTTAGAGCATTCCAATAGTAGTTTGTGGAACTCTTGCAAGGAACCACACGGTCGTCTGTAAAGCGCTGTTATCCGTGTAGGTTGATGCAATTGAACTTGGATAGTAACCGAATGGATTCTCGTGCAAGTGATATCCACAGGTGAAGGCAATCTTTTCCATAATATACCATGTTGAATGGCTAAAAGAACACCTCCGTATGAATCCTTTGAATTTTCCTGGACAATTGAGTAACCACTAAGTACTAGATTGTGATGCTTTGTCCTCGTGTCTGTGATAATCACAATACTGGGTTTAACTAGGGCAAGAAGACTTTCAACTTCTCCAATTTTGTTGTAAAGACCATCAGCGTTGAAATTCAGGATCTTTAAATTGCTGATCATTTTGTATGAATGAGGTTTATTACTGTTTGCATTAGTTGCGTGATTTGATTCATAAACCCTACCATCATGTCAGTGAATTTTTCCATCCATGGAGGTGGGTCTTGATTTTTATTATTTATTGTGTTCGCATAAGTTCTTTGATTGTGACGAACATTCTTCGGAACATGATGAATCTCTTGTGGGATTGTGGTTGTACCTGATTGTGTCCTTCTCTGTTTATACTTGGTTTCTAGGTCTAACCTTTTCTTGCACAGTCTATACGATGCTACATGAGGTCCATTACAATTGTTGCATTTCGGACTTTCTTGTCTCGGGCACTGAGATATTTCATGTGGGCCTGAGCAGCGAACGCACACAAATTTTTTGCCACAGTGATTTTTTGTGTGTCCAAATTCTTGGCACCGGTAGCACTGAGGAATACCTCTGTTCTCCTTATACTCTACAGCCGTAAATATAACTCTATTTATTGCACGGACTCTTTTGATGTCTTCAATTGTGGTTTCTGATGTTGTTGTGACAAGGATTGGAGATATGTCCTTTTTTGATTCCATCTGGTGAAGATTTTTTTAGGCGTCGCATATCCAAAATACCACTCACTTCACTAAAAGCATGTTGGATATTTTGCATGTTCTCTGTCAAATCAATGTTCAGTAGTAAATATTTGTTGGTATTGCGAACGCTCCCTTTTGGAGCAAAAGTATGAAAAGAAAAATTACTATTTTTAAACAATGTTACAATTTTGGTATGATCCGATAGGTTTTCTGTATAAATCCTGAGACCATCAGAACAGCGTTTTAAGTATATATTATTTATAGAATTTTTCCTAAACTCTTGCATTATTTCGTTGGGCGAGTAATCGCTGCTAATAACTATGGGTGGAGGTCTAGGAATAGGCACTTGAGAACTGATAGCGGAATGATTATTACTGTTACTTTGACTATCAGCACTCATTTCATCATTTTCTGAGTTTAAAATTTCATATTTATTTGAGACAGGAATTTCAGCTCTCTTTTCTAAGCGAGGGTCTACCCTCTTTGCAACTTTCTTGGGACTGAAGAAACCTCCTCCTACTTCGCTACTTCTCCGTTTACCGGTTTCTCCAATGGAGGACTGTGTGATTGCATCTGGTCCTCTTAATACCTGTTTTATAAACTAAAATATATACTTAATGTGAACTATATATAATGGGTAGTTGCCGGGTTGTTTAATAAAACTCATATATCACTAATAAAAAAATTAATTTATTTTTTTTATTTCCTTTTTTTTCGGAAGTTGGGCCATGTCATAAAAAAAAGAAGGTAATTTTAATATTGAATGTTTTACTCTATCTGCACAAAGAAAGATGGAAAGAGTGAAGCTATATGTTCTTCTTGGTAACCGAGACTAATTAATAGCATTTAGTGTCAAAAGGAGGAAAATCATGAAATTGAACACCAACATTGGAAAAATACATTAAGCAAATAAAGTTGACAGATAATATTTCAAGGAACTGCTAAAAGAGAGTAATTTGATGGGGCAGTTTGGATAATATCAAGGGGGCTATGGAGGTTTATTATGGTGAAGCAATTAGCAAGTCAGCAGTTATGGACGAAGTAACCCGAAATGTTGCGCGTACATTGACAACAAATGTGAAGATGTATTTCTCCACATTTTCAATATATGTTGAATAATATGCCATTAGAGAATGATATGATATTACTGTAGGTTTGTCCCTTTCAAAGCAAGGAGATACAAGGAAATGCAATACCCATCGAGATTCATTCCTGTTCAGTGTACCAAAGAAGCTCTACTCAAGAATCGTAGAAGCTATAATATTGTCAGAGCGGTGTGGATTGAAAAATTCAAGTTGCACATTGGGACTATCACTTTGAGGCAGACTATAGAGAATAATTCAAGGATCTGTTAAAGACGGGTCAAATGCCAGAGCAGTTTGGATAATATTAACAGGGGATGGAGGTTTATGATGAAAACCATTTTATTTTCGTTTGCTTCCTAAGTTGCATATTGGGACTATCTTCACTTTGAAGCAGGTTATAGAAAGGTCCATCGAGAAATGAAAAAAACTCTTCTTCTGTTCAGTGCATTTGGATAAGATCTTTGAAGGCATCAGAAAGGAAAACGAGCTTTTCTGAAAGGCAAGTAGATATTTACACAATCCAAAGTAGATATCCAACAATCAATTATATTGACGTCAATCAAACTGGTTATTATTTTTTTTTATTTATTGCAGCTCCTTCAATATTATTGAAACAGGGTCAATATAATTGTAGATAATAGGACCTATATTGAGCAATATTAAATCATATATACGGATCTTGAGAAGCTCTAGGCGAAACCAAATTTCTGGTGTCCCTCTTCGCAATATGTTTGAGTAGGTGGGTGATACTTTATTTTATGTTTTTGACGGGTGGGTTTAACCTCCCTCCTCCTCCATTTTTTTTTAAATATGAAACGACAATATGTTTGGGTATGTGGGTGAGTCTTTGTTTTACTTTATTTTTGGAGGGGGGATTAACCCCCGTCCTCTGAATTTCTTTTTAGAGTAAAATGGCAATATAGCCTTCTAATCCAGTTCTTTTACAGCACTACTTTCATTGCAGATTGAACAGTCAAAAAGTTTAATATGATTCTGATCAGGGTTTTAAGTTTATGATCAAGATAACTATAATGCATTGTTAGGATTAATTAATTGATGTTATTTATTATTATATACTCTACCTACAACACTGTTACTGGCAACACTGTCAGATGTGACGTCAGTGATCACAACAATGTATACTCCCTGGATATGGCTTCTGTGTTTGAAGTGTTCTTCCACAATAAACGTTTCTGTATTAACATGCATGTAAAAACTTGAGACTGAGGTCAAGAGAAATAAGTGAATTTAGATTAGATTCAAACTAAATTACACTATTTTCTTGCTAAAACTGGTCAGATTTGGATGATTTTTCCTCAATTTTGTAGAGAATTTCAAATAAGTACCTATTGTTTCTTTGTTGTTAGGGGAACAATTTTTATATTTAGGACTTTGAGATAATGTTTTTATCCACTTATAGTACAACTGTTTACAACTTCAGTAAATTAAGCATTTATATTTACAAAGTGGAATTTTTTGTGCATTATATAATTGAACTTTATAATTTAGAGAGTTTTAAATTTAAATATTAGAATTATGCATAAGGCTACTTTTTAAATACTTAATTGTCAAACTAGATTAAAGGTAGAATACTACTGGTCTTAAGCTTGAATGCTTAACAAGAAAAACAAATGACATAAGTAGAGATGAAAATCTGACTGACACCAAGGTTATGTGTTTGGCAAGGATAATTAAAGATAAATCAATAACAGATACATGAAATATTTATTTATAAATTTCAAATTCAATAAATCATTTTGTCTTGGTATCAGAATATTTAACTATGATGCCATTGAAAATAAACCATTTGTGTAGATTACATTCTGATTTCTAGTAGTACAAATTTTCTTTCCACTCTACCAAAACAAACATTTCTTAGGAGTGAAACTGGAAAAACTTGAAGCCCATCTAGAAAAATAATGCATTTCAATTAATCAATATATAAAATGTATAGACAGCAATATATATTTATATTTCCGTAGATATAACCAACAATAACAAAATATTAATAAAAAATATCAACTTGCAAATATTAATCAACACCCTTTACACCATATCAATTTAAAAAGAGCTTTTAACAGAGGGTATGTTAAATTAAAAAAATTAAGCTTCCTTGTATGTGAATGGAAAATTTGTCAAATATGTATATGAATCTCCCTTAAAATATTAGAATAAAAAAAATAATTGAAAAACAGGGAAGGAGAGTTTGATCAACTATTAGTTTAAAAAACTATTCTTTAAATTCACAAGTCATATAAAGGGTTAATGAATATTGAGGTCGTGATGGGCAATCATGTTAAAGCATAAACTTCAACATTCTCGAGCCTAGCAACATCGGTTCAAATCCCGCCTGCAAAAATGTAAAGTGCAAAACAAATAACAGTCCGCCCAGACTTAAACAATGGAATGTGAACCAAAAGGATCAGTTCAGAAATGTGAAGAGGAAAAGATTGTTAATGAAATGAAATGAAAAATAATTTAAAAATTCTTAATATGAGAATTTATCTATGAATTTGATTTAGTAGTGTAGGATTTTTAGATACTATCAATTTCTGCAAACCTTTGAGTGTTACAAAATCTTAAAATAATATCTCTCAAGTGGTGGGAAATCTGTAACCAAAGCACATTGTACGCTGTACTGTGTACAAATTAATGTTCCTAAAGATGCTTAAAAATTACTTCTACTTATTCCTATGTTAAGGAAACCTTGTCATCATTTTAAAGTGAAACTATATCTTTATTCAGTTAATATTTTCTTTGTATATATGAGAAGAGATCCCACTAGTTTTTAAAAGAAAAATACAATTACTTTAGAGTAGTATACTGTTTTTGTTTTTTTTTGGAAACTGTTTGCTTTACACTTGCTTAAACTTAATAGTGTTTTATTCTCAGTTGGTTACTATGAAAATACATCTGAACCACTGTGGCCACTATCCAGGAACCATTACTGACCTCAACATAAATGGAGTTACATCAAATATGTTTAAGTGATTTAGATGAATATGGTTGGAGAAAAGTATGAGACCACAGTGTGACACCATTCAAACAAATATTTTTAATTTTTTTGAGCTTCAGGAACTTAAAGAAATGCAAACTAATTGAGATTTAACTGTTTTTGCTCCAATTAATATACTATTTCTACTTGAGGTCGTTAACAAATAATAAATGGTATTATCTTACCTCCTTTGACTTCTCCAGCATGCACTTGGAAGCAGCTATAGCAAAGTCACATCCTTCTTCAGTAGATGTAGTCACTAAGAATTAAAGAATGTTATATATATTTTTTTTTTCCTTACCACATATCGTCAGCACCATGTTATAGTAACGAATATGAACCTGTCCAAAGTTACACATTTGTTACTTTACCATGATGCTGATGATATAAAAGAAAAAATTCAAATAAATTTTTGAGCCTTAGTAACAAGTTAGGTTATTTGGATTAAGTAATAAGGACCAATAGGCCCCCTTATCATAAGTGATTCCCATCCCAATACACTATACTAAGGAGTGTCTAGTCAACCAACTAATTTCATCCAACAGGGTCAAGAGTTTAAAAAAATTAAAAGAAAGATAACAACTTCTATGCATAAGAACCGGCTCTCAGGAAATATAGATGGAGGCAAAGCCTAGAATTTTAAATACATAGTAGTATCCCAGTCTTCAGTTTATTATCTGTAATAAAATATAATAATGATTGAAAAAAGTGACAATTACATTATTTTTACTGATTATGAAGTATACTTTAATAATTTTATACACTTTGCCCGTTCAGAATAAAGTTAAATTATAATACAGACTTTTTGAATTGTTATTTGAAGTACTATTATTATTTCATGGCAATACAACCCGGTTACAGGTCATGGCCTCCTTTAACCTCTAACCATTTCCTCCAATCGTCACGGTATTGCGCCAACGCCATTCAGTTCCTAACTCCCAGCATGCTGCGGGTGTCTCCTGCCACACCATCAGACCATCTCAGCCTTGGTCTCTCTCTTCTCCTTGTTCCATATATTGGCTTTTTCAAGCAATATATTGGACATTTCTCCATCCGCCATTCTGGAAATATGCCCCGCATATCTTAAACGCCTCAACTTTATTGCTTTCACGTCAGCTTCTCCGAAAGCATTGAACAGCTCCTAGTTAGTGTGCCGCTTCCCCTCCTCTCCAACTTTCACACTCCTAAAAACCTAGCGGATAACTTTTCTTTCAAAAATAAGGAGTTCCTTTTCAGTGGCCTTCGAAGTAGTCCAGCACTCCAATCCATCAAGAAGTACGGGACACATCAATGTCTTGTAGAGGTGGAGCTTGGTCTGTATGGAAAGTATTCACCTGCTTAGCTGCTTGCTCAATCCAAAGTAGCACTTGTTGGCCGCTATGATCCTTCTTCTTATCTCAATATCGGGGTTATTATCCTGAGTGACTACAGATCCCAGATAAGTGAACTCCGAAACATTCTCAAATTTGTGAGGCCCAATAGGCTTGCCTGGCGTGGGAATTTCTTCTGTTACCATATATTTCGTTTGTCTGTTGGCACGACCCGTCAGTGCCAGAAAAGCATCAGTCACGGACTGCAGGGAGCGTCCCACAATGTCTACATCATCCGCATTGGCCAACAACTGGACAAGCCTGGTAAAGAAGTTTCCTTGTCGTTCAGGTAAACCAGCGTCTCTCACAGTTTTCTCAAGTGTTAGGTTAAATAACATATAGGCCAGCGCATCCCCCTTGCCGAAGCCCTTTACCTGCGCAAAATTCTTCTGATCTGTCACCATTCACTCTAACCATACATCTCACATTCTTCATGGCAAGCTTTATCAAACGTATAAGTTTCTCAGGTATGTTAAATTCTCTGAGATCACTATACAGTTCTTCGCGTATTAGTCATTTTAAGTACTACTTATGAAAAACCAAATGTTGATAACACAAGATTATTTTTTAAATTTTCTATTAACACTAGACTTCTTAAATGTACGGCTGTTTGAATTAATCTAAAGAAAAGCGTTAGTACTTGTGCAGCTGCAAACTGTAGTTTTTATAGCACAATGGAAGATTGCCAATAAAAGTATCACTTATTCATCCATTTAAAGCACTAACCCTGACCAACAAAGCACCATTGAAAGTTTCATTCCTATGATAATAAAGATCAATGTGTTTGTCACTGATATGGATGGTAATAAAGAATGTCAATGACAGGTCATGTATGGATTAAACCTGCAAAGAATTTGATGTTTACTCACTATCACATTATATTCTCATGCTCAAATTTACATGAATCACTAACAAAAGGAGGATTTTCGACTAGGAGCAATTAACTATGAAATGTTTTTTTATCAAATTTAAAATAACTGAAATAAGAGGTGTTATTTATGTTTTCTTAAATATGTTACCTATTTAAATTATCATAGAATATAATAATGAACAGAAATATTACATCATATATAATATGATACATGATAATATGTTACATACTGCTACTGTTGGTGCAAAAGGTTACATGTAAAAATTGAGTGATTATTTGTTTAGTGGATAGCATGAAAACTGATTATTTGTTTATGATTTATTAGTATAATTTCATATTTGATTTCCTTCTTCTATTTTCTATGTTTAATTAATGTTTGGAAAATGTTTATATACATCCTTTTGCACTAACATTACCGATATGATTTATGATATTTTACTTCATATCCAAATCTTACATTCTTCTTTGCAAGCAGCTGATATAGCATTAGCCTTTTCCAAATTATCAGGATTATGAAATTGCATTTTGTTGAATTCAATACTTTTATCCAGATTTATTTGTCTGTCTGTAATCTTTGAAAAAATAAAATTAGTAGCATATTTTAATTAATTTAAATATGTTTTAAATTCATATTACACTTACCAACCCAAAACCTTCCAAGAAACAAGAAATAAAGCACTGTTAGAAAAAAAAAAAAGAATAATTATCAGACAGTAAAGACAAATTTAATAAATAAATGAAAAAAAATATATAGTAAAAACCTTTCCTTCTTCACTTGTTGGCAATTCAAAACTTTTAACAGCTTTTTCCATTTCTTCTATAAAATTAAAAAACGAAGTTTTTGTAAGAAATAATCATATATTGTATTTAAAATATCAAATATTAAAAGTTATTATTGTAGAAACAATTATTTACAACTGATAATCTTACTCATGTCCAAAGGATGCTCTTTATTACATCTACCAACTATCTGAAAAGCCTGACTTATTATTCCTGGTTTTACCTATAATTTAAAATTGAATTTTGATAGTATTAATAGATTTCAACTACATTTTAACTATTTAATTGTAGCCAGAGAGATTATAGTTTTTGTAAAAGGTGTAGATATCATTTCAAATTTCCAGTGCTTTATATTTTAGTGCAGTGCAGGAAGTTAATAAATATGATTTCTACCAACTGAACTAGCCTAATATTTTTAATTATCCAACTATAAACTGATCAAAAGTTGTATATCATTGAGCCTGCTAGGCAACCCATATATATATTCCAAAACTGTTTTGAAATAAAAATTGGTTCTTTTGAATCCAATCATCACTTTAACTCTAGAAGACTGTAAAAAAAAAAAGATAAATTAAATAATGATGTGGATGGTATTTGAAGAATACAGATGTTTTTTAAATTTGATGTACAGATCATAAAAACATGGCACATGTATAAAATGAATGTATTATTGATGACCATTACTTATTATTCTTTGTAGATAGACAAAATATTATGAAAGATCACAACATTATCCAAAAAGATAAGGTAGTATTTTTAATTAAATAACATCCAAATCCACTAATTGTGTTAATAATAACGTTACAGTACAGTTTAGAATCATTACAACAATTCATACAATACTCTATTGAACAAATTTGGAAAAAAGTTATTTCTTTAAAATATTTTATTTATAATTTTATGTTATATGTTAAATCATAAATAAACATTGTTGTGGCAGTAAACACAAATTTTACATAATATATTAAAGTATAAACTTAAAAAATACCATATTTTAATTTTTAAATATTATTTCTTGATAATTATAAAACTAAAAAATATTATTCTTTAGATGAAATCAAGCAATCTGAAAAATGGATCTACATATACAAATGTAAATATGTATTTTTTATTTTAACTCTTGCCTTAAGAATTAATTTTCCCCTAAGTGTCAGAAATATGTTTTAGAAATTAGTTAACAATATTTTAATGATCAATCATCTTACCGTACTGGTGAAGGAAAAACTTATACTTATTAAAATAAAAAAGTTAACTATATAAATATTCATTTTAAACATGGAGTAGTGGAATAAGTGGAAATGTAAATATGCATGCTATAGGTGACTTATATAGGTTTTATAGAAGGCCAACATTAATTGTACACATTGGGGTATCAGAGGATGAAATTATGCTCTTAATGACACATTATGCTTGATGTACAACTTCATTGTAGAAAGAAAACTTAAACAAACTGATCTAAACATAGAAAAAAAATAGGATACCTTCAATTTAATTGAAAGCCGTAATATAAATAATTAGGTAATAAATAGATTTATAAAATTCAAGATATACTGTCTATCTGCTGCTTAATTTACTTCACTATTCATAAATGATGATAATGGGAAAAAGACTTTTTATAATTATGTGTAGGTAATTAGACCTTCTTTAAGCCTCAATGGATAGAATAATTTATTGTAAAATTATACAAATTTTCGCCACTTCTGGCATCATCAGGGATACAATCAGATATTAAAACATTACATCAATTTTCATCTGAAAAATATATATAAATAATCTATCAGCAGACTTACTAATAGACACTAGTAAATATTTATGATTAGGGAAATTAGTAGCTTCTACTATTTCAATAAATATAGAAAAAGTTAAGAAGAACTAGAAAAATATGTTTTAGCCTGGGAATTTAGTCCTCTGAGAATAATAACAATGAACAAGAGAAGTGTCATTTGTCTGGTTTCAAATGACAAGTGACTGGTTTCAAATAATTAAATTACAGTGATTTATCCTTTGAACTAATATAAATGATAATCATAATAAAACTATACATAAATATAAAATTTAATTCTTACATATATTTTGAAAATTGATTGCTGAAATGAAGGATGAATAATTGGTGCTAAAAGAAGTTAAAGATGTGATTACAAGTATGGAGATGGGTAAAGAATTCTAAAACAAGGTAGCACCTATTATAAAGGATTTTAAGGAAACAGTTCTATGAGAAGGAATATACAGGTTTGTGGGCTTGGATCTCATGTTTAGAGAATGTACAAAGGATCAAGGAATAATTAAATCAAGCAGATAAATAAGTTTTTTGGTTGTAATGGTTTGGATAAGGAATATATCTAGGAAGTACTGCTGTCAGAAAATTGGAGAGAGCCATTTTAACTTGGCTTACCGAATGAAAACATGAGACTCTCTAGGAGAGGGCGCCCAGGGACTCCAAATGTAATGAAACAATTCATTAGTCTCACCAAACAATCTTGTCATATACAAAACAACCATAATCAAAGTGGGGAAAAATAAGAGAAGAAACCAGAAGCTGGCAAGTTTTTTGGGGCATGGCATCACAGAACCTCAGGAACTGTTGTTGATAGATTTTCAGATAATTTGAGAAATATGATTGTTCCAGGACAGATTTTGATAAAAAATTACTCCTACACTTTCTAATGGAAGTGTGAAAGTGAATAGGTAGTCCATTAAGGTAAAGTAAGGGTTAATAAGATGCTTGGAACCAATGAAAATGGCTTTGGTCTTCTAAACCTCAAATTATTCCTTGCTGCCCATGTGTAAATAATGACTATATCTTTTTTTAACCTTCGGATCACCTCAAGCATCTGAGTGGGATGGGAGGAAAGATAGATTTGGAGGTTGTCAGCGTATAAGTGGTCTTGTGAATGATGAATGAAATTCAAAAGGAGAAAAGAGTAGCAGGGAGTGAAGATCCTCGAGGAACACCAAGAGTTAGTAAGATGGGGATGATGAAATTTTATTGGGAATGATGACTGTTTGGGATTTGTGGTACATGAAGAAGTGGAACCATTTAGAACACTATTTGATATGGAGAAGTTTTAGAGTTTGGAAAAGAAGATTTTGTAACTAATTGAACGCTTTTGAAAAATCATAGAGATTTTCAATTTGTTTATGGAGAATTGAAGGTCTCGTGTAATATTCAACAAAACAGATTGAGTGGAATACCGGGATCAGAAATCAGATTGGAGGGGATTGAGGAGAGCCGTTTGCTCAAGAAAGGTATTGAGCTATGAATGGATTAGTTTTCCAGTTGTTTTGAAAGGTTGGAGAGAAAGGAGATATATCTGAAATCTGAAACTTTGGAGGGGATCAGAACTTTACTCAGCAGACGGACCATAACTTTTTTTCCAAGCTGATGAGAAACTGGAATGTTGTAAGGAAAAATTATAAATATGCTAAAGAACTGAAAAGATGATGAGAAGTCATTGTTTGATTAACTTCGCCGGAATTAGATCCAGACCATAGTCATTTGTGCTGGATTCAAGGACCAAGAAAAGTAAATCTTCTGGTGAAATGTTTGTAAAATAGAAATTTTCATGGTCAAAGGGAGTTTTTAAAATGCAGTGTAAGGTTCAGAACTGTACCAAGATAGGATCAGCAAAGTAGGAATTCAGTTCATCAAGAGAAACAGGATAGATAAGATGTACTAGTATTTTACTTAACAACAGATAGATGTTAGATGTTCAAATTTTTTCTTTCTGTTTAACGATATGGGACTCGTGCTAAGGAAGTATGGAAGTATTGTGCCATATCACAGCACAACCAGAATAAGATAATGTTTCAAAGGGTTTTGAAAGAGATGTATTCATTCAGGTTTAGTGTGCAACTGAAACGCCTCTTAGCAGCGCTCATCAACTCACTGATTCTAGCACTCATCCAGGGTACAGCAGGACATCTGGATGTCGAAATGTTTAGAGGTGCATGATGATTCACAAATAGAAGATTGGAGGAAATAAACTCCACCAGTTCATCAATAGAGGAATATAGGAATAGATAGGTTTTAAGGATTGAGAAAAGGATTTAGTATTTCAGAGGTCAAGAATATCATCATGAAATTTACTTTAGAGTAAACTTAGGAGTCAGGACATTACAGGAAATCTTGAAGAGAACATGATAGAAAAGGAAGGGTACAGGATTCTGAGAGAAAGATGAGTTTTGATAATAGAGTTCTGGGAAGTATTTTCAAGATAAACATGCAATACCATAAAACATCATAGATTGTGTCAGATATGGGCAAACACTACTCACAGTGTTGAGCATCAGGCAATTTACTTAAATACAGTATCAAGAACTATGTATATACTGAGTATCAATGAATTTAAATACAACCTCAGTTGGTCATAAACCATCAACAGAAGTAGTAATTCAAATTCTAACTCTCCATAACGCTAAAATTTGAGTAAAATATTTGGTATTCAGTACTCAGAGAAGTTGTAGTCAATTTTTGTTTGCTTATTATGTTGAGTGGGTGTCTTAACTCTTTTGAAGAACACAGATATTAACATCCTGCAAGTTTAGCAATTGAGCTTGCACAATTTCAACTGTTGATAGGCTGAATTTTTGTAATAAATCCAGTTATCATTTACTATGGCCAATGAACACTTTGGGTTCATAAATATATATGAACACTTTGGGTTCATAAATATATATATATATATATATATATATATATATATATATATATTATGTATATAAATATAAATAAATATATATACAGTGCCTTAGGATGGGGCAATCGAGACAATTTCCCAAAGGCGTCGGATGATCTTCAAGAGTGCTCGCCACTTGTTATAAATTAAAAAAACAAAACACAAAACGCATTAAAATAAGTAATTTTAGCCTATCAATAAAATGACTGTTTTAAATAAATGTTTAATTCAATATTACATAATAAAAATAGATTAAGATATAAATTTAATTTTTTAGAAGGGAGGAAGGGATATAACGTCATTTCCCGGAGGCGCCGAATGTCTAAAGCCGACGCTATATTTATATATATTTATATATATATATATATATATATATATATATATATATATATATATATATATATATAAAATTTATTTAAAAACCAATTTAAAAAATACAATTTTATAATAATATAAAATATTTATATAAATTGTATTTTAATATAATTAATTAACTGGTAAAACATTTTTTTTAGGTAAATTAATGCAATACTAATTTAAATATGTGAAACTTTTTGTAAATTTTACACTTTCCAAGAAAGCCGGAATTATGGCTCAGTCCAGGGCGGCAGAATTTACTTGTTGTTTGTTTTTATGTTTAATTTAGCCAATAGCATGGAGTTAATATTATCTGATGATTAATGAATTTATCTGATGAAAGATGAATTTAACTTCAACATATATTATCTAAATTGTTAAGTTTTATTGCAGAAGGGGCGGCAAAAGTAAGCTTGCCTACCCTGGTAAAAATCTTAGTTCCAGGCCTACTTTGCACAAAGAGCTATTAAGCTTAAATGTTTTTGTTTAGAAAGGTAACCTTTTAAATGCGTTTTCTTAAAGATTGTTTTCAAAAGTTAAGACTATCTTTTTTAATATCTGAAACAAAACATCTTTTTTTTTTAGCAATGTAATTACTCCTACCTTATAAATGTTTGAGAATGAATGCTAATGGCCAGAGACTTGAATAAGGAATCAGCATGAGCAAAGGCATACAACGGTATGGTTGGCATACTATGGCAATGAGAGCATGACATCAAGAATTAATTATATATCTTTAGTTTCGCTGTGAACATGCCAGTGATGGCCGAATTTCAGGAATTAGTTTCCTTTAATATCACTGAATAATCTAAAAAATAAATGTACATCAGTTTAACAATTATTTTATCCCACTAATCAATTAATATTTGGATATTTCGGTGGTAAAAAAATGACATCTTTATTTTAAGGATTACATATAGTTCTAAGACAAGAAACCATAACTAAATGATAACAAATTTAATATAAATGAAAATAATGAATAAATTGATCCCTGGATCCTTCAAGAACAGCGTTTTCACCATATTTTTTTTTTACTTTCCTATCTATATCAGATAAGGAAATTTTCCTTGAATTGCATTACCTTGAAATGCAATCAGGTCAAATATCCGATGTGCATTTTTCGACGGATCTTTACGTTTCAAAGATCCTTAAGTCCGAAAAATTAATTTTCAGCCATTGGTCTATTGGAAACTAGTAAACCGATTTTGTTGCTTCTTTTTTATCTTATAGGGTTTTGACCATTGATACCTACGACACAAA